TTCCCGCTCGTTCAGGGATCGGCGTTCATCACGGCCCTGTACAATGGTGTGTCCCCCGTCATCGAGTCAGGTGTCTACTTCAAGACGGTCACCCGGACGACTCAGACGGTCAAGCCGGGCATCACGAAGTTCCGGATCAACCTGGATGACGGAACCGTCTGGCTGCTGTACGCGCAGCAGGCTCAAGGCACGGCGCCTTTGGACCTCCGCGTCTTGAACAATGGAGCCGCACAGTCCAACGGTACCTTCACGGGCGTCATCCAGGTTGCTAAGGACCCTGGAAATGCCGAGGCGCTGTACGATGCGGCGTGCGGTGCGTATTCCACCGGGACGGACCTGAGCGGCCAAGTCGACGACTCGAAGGGCGAGTACACGTTCCGGTTCCGAAAAGCCGGCCTGGCCTCGGCGACGCTGGCGATGTGGGCTCTTCCGCACCACCAGAGTTCGTTCAGCAGCGCGACCAAGTCGAAGATGTCGGACGTGGAGCTGAACACGCCTACCACGGGGACGGCAAGGTTAGTCGTGGCCGACCAATGGACCATGGAGGAGCCAGACCTGCCGACCGGCGTGGCCTTTGTGCCGTGGTCGCCGCAGGCGGGCTCGGTGGGTACGCTGTCAAGCTCAGCGAAGGCGTTCATCCACAACATCACACTCCAGGAGCTGTCGCAGAATATGGTTTCGCAGTCGAATCAGGATTCCATGTATTTTAGTGGCAAGGTGAGTGTTGCAGCAACAACAACAACCATTGTCGGGTTTGCTAACTAGTGCTCCTAGGCATTGGCAAAGTTTGCATCCATTATTCTGGCGGCGAAGGATCTGCTCGAGGACGAGCCCCTTGCGGTAGCTGGACTGAATCAGCTCAAGCTCGCGTTTTCTCGATTTGCAGAGAACCAGCAACGGTACCCGCTGGTTTACGAATGTAAGCACATGTCTGATTGTTGGGATGGAAGAATGCTAACCAAAGACAGCCGCTTGGGGAGGTGTCGTCTCATCAGCCTCGTACGTGACAGGCGACTCGGGGATTGATTTCGGCAACTCGTACTACAACGACCATCATTTCCATTATGGTTATTTCATTTACGCCGCCGCGGTCATTGGACACCTTGACCCATCATGGATTGACGTCAACAAGGCTTATGTCAACACACTCGTTCGGGATATCTCCAATCCCAGCTCCAAGGACACACTGTTCCCTGTCTGGCGGTGCTTCGACTGGTATCATGGCCACAGTTGGGCCCACGGTCTTTTTGAGACGTCGGATGGAAAGGTGAGTTGAGGTTTCGTGAGTCGGAGGCGAGCCGCTAACTCGTCGACAGAACCAGGAATCGAGCTCTGAGGACTCGATGCACGCATATGCGATCAAAATGTGGGGCACCGTGACTGGCGACTCCAACATGGCGGCGAGGTAGGCCATCCGATATTTCCTTCGCATGCCAGACAGCTGACCGTTCCAGGGGAAACCTCATGCTAGCCGTCCAGGCTCGTTCGTTTAACGACTACTATCTGTACAGCTCCAGCAATAAGGTGCAGCCACCCGAGTTCATCGGGAACAAGGCGGCCGGTATTCTTTTCGAGAACAAGATCGACCACACGACATTCTTTGGAACAAACGTAGAGTACATCCAGGGCATCCACATGATTCCGCTGCTGCCGCACACACCCTATGTACGCAAACCCGACTTCGTATCGGAGGAGTGGAAGACGTACTTTGACAGCGGCCGCGCGGACCAAACCGCCGGCGGCTGGAAGGGCATTCTGTTCGGAAACCTCGCGACCGTCGACCCTCGCAGTGCCTACGCCTTCTTCAGCTCGCCCGGTTTTGATCCTAGTTGGATAGACGGCGGAGCGAGTTTGACGTGGTATCTGTGTTATGCAGCTGGTAGGTCACTCCCCCTTCATCGCGAAACATGTGGTTGCTGACTGTAGAAATGCAGCGTTGGGAGGACTCTAAGTCAACTCCGATCGGTGTCTCTTGGCTGGGAGTTCTTTCCTTCTTTTTAACATGGGCGGCGCGGGAGTTTGAGGGGGTTTTGATTATGGGTTTGGGTTGGACAAGATGGATACGGAGTACTCCTCAGGTGATTGGGTTGAGCGGAAACGTGTGGGAGAAGAAGATTGTACATTGGCTGCTCAATTTGCTCGCCCTGGGAAGATAAGCATGGAGAATGGAGTTATGATTAAATCGATCGCTGTCGTGTCACCCACCGTGAGTGCCTTTTGGGGCTGAGTGTGGTCGCTCTTTCCAGGAACCATCCGGCAAGCATCGTGGTGGTCCGGGCTGCCGTCTGCCGTCTTCAGGGGTAGCTCCTTCCCGATCGGCCCCGCCGTAGTCATGCAGCCCCGGATGCGGGGGCAGCTCTGGGGATTCCCTGTTTCTGCTTGGGGGACATCGGGCCGTGCCATCTTCTCCCACACCGACCCGGCGAGAATTGGGCACTTTGGGCAGCCAAAGGTTGCCGGGCAAACAACTCAGCCAGGTCGCGGTGTGCTAAATCGCAGAAGGAGGCAGCACATGCAACGCGTCGCAGCTCCCCGATTTGGCATCGATTCTTCCCCGCCTCGTTGATGACTCCGACCGTCGGCGTACTGTTTGAGTGGTCACGTATCACACGCCATTTCTCACTGGTCAACTTGAGTTCTCTCACCTCTCAGACCCCGGCCGTGTTGACCGCTCTCCTGGCCGGAACATCGGTGACAGCCCCATGCCAGATTCTGGAAAACCTGCCGCCCCTACCCCTCCCTCTGCACAGCGCAGCCCAAGGAGGGGAGCCCAAGGCCAGACTCAGCCTCTTTTCCACCTCGCACAAAATCTAGCCAGCCTCGCCTGTCCAGCCAAACTTCAACCTGTTTTCGGCAATTCCCCTTGTCCTATGTGTCCTGGAGGACACGTCACTGCCCACAATACATCTCGAGCTCCCATTCGCAGCTGACTCGGTCGTGTGGAGGAAGGATCGCAGTCCCGCCCATCCACTCTGTTGATGTTCCTATCCCCCCCGTTCCTCCGGTTTGCGGGGGGTCAACACAAGGTGCCCTAGCCTGCACGACCACTTCTCTTCATCATGTCATTTGAGTCAGAGCCCAGCAGCTCCTTGCTTCCAGTGAGCGATTACCTGACCGATCCTGAGCTCGAGGGTTTCGTTTGGGACAGGGAGGGCGAGGAGACTTCGGAGGCATGGCTCGCACCCGTCCGAGAAGCCGGGCTGGATCACCGGAAGCACAAGGTGTTCCATCACGCAAACAAGGAGTATACGACGCCGCCTCTTCCTTTCCGGCATGATGGCGAGCTGGGGCAGTCGGGGTCCACCATTGTCTACCGGGTACGGGCGCCTAAGGGGTACAATTACCGACGGCCTCTGGCTCTGAAGGTGATCGTCTGCAAAGACGTCGTTTCGTCCCGTCCACCAGGGCCAAACAGCGAGGCTCGCCGACTAGCTCTTCAAGAAGTACAGAACATGGCAGCCATTCGACACCCGCACATTGTCGTTTACGTCGCATCCTACGAGGAATACTGTCTCCAGACGCGAAAAGTCGAAACCACCCGCCGCTCACCGAGGCCTGGCCGCCGCGAAGTCTTCCATGTCAACCAACAAGTTATCAACAAGCACATCCTCGGCATTGCCATGTATCCCCCCGCCCAGTGCAATCTCCAGACATTTATGTTGGAATGCCTCGCGTCGAGCCGGAACCCTAGCCAGAAATCCAACGGCTCCCAGGGCCTTTCTCAAGGCCTTTCCCAAGTCGAGGAAGATCCGGAGCACGCATGGTGGAAGTTGCCCTTCCTCCACACATACTTCGGATGTCTGGCTCAGGCCGTCGCTTACCTTCACCGTTCCAGCGTCCGTATTCGACACAAGGACATCAAGCCCGAGAACGTCGTGATCGATGACTTTGGCATGCCTGTGCTCACCGACTTTGGACTGTCGACACACTTTGAGACTGGTCACCACTCGGACGGCCCGACGGCCAAGACTCTCAAGTATGCCGATCCGGAAGCTATGCAGGGGATCAGGCGTGACGAACGGTCCGATATATTCAGCTTGGGATGTGTCTATCTGGAGATGGCGACCGTGATTATCGGGCGTTCACCGAGTTTTGCTGAGGCTCGACTCAGTGCAGCTGTCGACCAGCCGGCTGGGCTGTTTAAATACAGCGAAGCACTGGACGGCCTTGACGGTTACATCGCGGAGCTGGTGCGGATTGTTGAAGATGAGTTGGCCAGGACAACAGACGCCTCACGACAGGCGTCTCTCCGTGCTATCGTCGTGGTGTTGCCGACGATCGGCAAGATGATGCACCCCGACTTTACTAGGCGACCGTATGCGCAAGAGCTCTATCCCCTGTTTCGACATCTATCCGAGGTGCCTGGTACGCCTGGGCTATGTCCGACGTGTGAGGAGGAGAGACAGACTGGGAGATTCACACCTAAATCAGGGAGCCAGAGGAGCGGCCGGGGAAGCCCGACGATGGTGCGACGAGAGACCTTTAATTCGTTGATCGCTAGGAGGGAATCGGTTCTCGCAGCGCACGCAGCGTCGGGTGCTGCCAATCCGAGGGACGGGTCCTGAGAAGACTTGGGGTGGGAACGCAGTGTATGTGTTATGGGCGTGAGATGAATGGGGCATCATATGGGTTGAAGATCTTATATGGGCAATATGGATATACAAAATCGCGGGCGAGGCGTCGGGAGTAGAATCATGAGGTTTTCAAAAGGGATCAGCAGAGATGGGAGTTATCAGGGGATTGGACTGGGAAGTGCTGGGCATCCTGAAGTACCGTGGGACCGAGTTCATTGTCGTTGCCATATCTTGTAGCATCTGAACTCAGAAATGAGTAGGTATAGAAAAAGAGAAGAAAAAATAGAGTGTTTAAGCGGTGTTTCGCTGGGCGACATGAAAAAAAAGACGCTTGGCATTTGGACAAAGGGGTAACAACAACAGCCACTGCGACACTGAGTATCGAGAAGCAAAACGATGTCACCAAGCACTGCAAAAAGATAACCATGCTCAATAACAGGATTGAACTGTTGACCTTCGCATTACTTTATACAGAAGAACCGTATTAGTACGACGCTCTAACCAGCTGAGCTAATCGAGCCGCATGTGGTGATGGAGACTGGTGGTGGTGAGCCGGCATATCCATGTTGGGCGGCGCGGAGGCCCGGTGTCGCCTTGTGTCCAAAACTCTGACGGGACTCACCGGGATGTGCTTGATGTTAGTTTTCGGCGGTATGCCCCCTCTATTGGATTCCTGTCCATGGAATACATTTTGGCGGAAAGGGGGGCGATGAGTTGCAGTGGGTGGACCAGGTGGTTACAGACATTGAGGTTTTGGTCTGCTGAGGCATGTTTCTTAGGTTTCGGGTCAAACCAGCCGTGTGGTCTTACAATTCATCACGACAGAGTTTTTCGGGATCAGCTACTCTTATTTATGGATGCAAGAGGTCCTACCGACCACGAGTCGCTTCACTGCTTAGATTCTAGAATACTTGATCAGCATCGAGGGCTACGCTACTCCGTACAGCGAGCGGGTTGCCTGGGAGGATTGCACGCATTGAGATCGGCTTTAGAGCGGAATTGCGGTATCATCCACTCGGGTAGAAACATGTCGGCAGATACGTGCTTCAGAATTCGCTTTTCTCAAGTCTGGAGATAGTAGTTTTTGAGGACCTAGTCTAGGTCTAGGCCATCAAGTCCGGGATGAGGCCGCTGAAAATCTTCCACCAATGGTCTAGCCCAGTGGCCTGTGCTTCATCTGATGCACCTGCAATGCAATGCAGGTCCCAACTGTAAAAAATCTCAGCCGAGAGCGCAGACAATCGAGTCGACCTCGGAACAAACGACGCCCCATCCTTCGGCACGCAACGCCCAATGCGGAGACTACAGGTATCGCGGCTGCTGGAGCCTCTGTATCCAAGCGTCGCACCTGGCACATTGCTTGCCGGTCATGGGGCACCGCGCGGATCGTCGTCGTCGCAGGTTGAGATGCGGCGATGGTTCGTCGCACACGCGCGACCGAGACCGACTCGCCATGGGCCCAGCTAGGGCCAGGCCTCCTCTGACGTAACCCCCAGCGGCCCTCGACGCCCCCGACCCCTCCCGCCTCCCCTCCAGCTGCTACCCCCCGCCCTCCGGTCCCCTTTACCCCGCGCCCGCCCGTTCGAGTCCTCATCACATGCCGGCACTCGCTCTCAGTCACCCTTCGTGCTGCCCCGTGGCCTGCATCAAGACCAACGCCGTCTGTACAGGTCGAGCTGCCCCCGCCCACTCTCGCCCACCAGCCGCGCACTCACCATGGGCGATGGCGGACAGCAGCACAGCTGGCAGTCTCCGAGCGACGACGCCGCGGCGCCCACCAAGGCCGAGGCCGCGATCGATGGCGCAGCGGGACGAGGGGAGGTAGCGGCCATGGCGGGACACGGCCAGGACACAAAGACAGACGGAGGGGTCGAGGTCGCCCACGAGGAGCACCTGCCGCAGGGGATACACGAAACAGAGGAGGAGCTGAGGCACGGCTGGTTTGTCGGTAGCATCGACCAGGGCACGACGTCGTCGCGATTCCTCATCTTCAACGGCGAGGGCGATCCCGTCGCCATGCACCAGATCGAGTTTGAGAATCTCTACCCCAAGTCGGGCTGGCACGAGCACGATCCGCTCGAGCTGCTGGCCTCGGTCGAGGAGTGCATCGAGGGCGCCATGCGCAAGTTTGGGGACATGGGCTACTCGCGACGCGACATTCGGTCCATCGGCATCACGAACCAGCGTGAGACCACGGTAGTCTGGGATAGCAAGACCGGCGAGCCTCTCTATAATGCCGTTGTCTGGCCCGACACGCGGACCAAGTCACTAGTTCGCGATCTAAAGGCGCGCGACGGCGCCGACGCGCTGACGGAGCTGTGTGGGCTACCCCTATCCACATATCCGAGCAGTGTCAAGCTGCTTTGGCTCATTCAAAACGTTGACGCAGTCGCGCGGGCCTACGAGGAGGGACGTCTTGCGTTTGGGACGGTTGATTCTTGGCTTATTTATAGACTCAACGGCGGCGCCAACGCTACGAAGCCGGTCCACGTCACAGACAGTACGAACGCGAGCCGGACTATGTTTATGAACCTCCGCACCTTGCAGTACGACGAGAAGCTTCTACAGTTCTTTGGTATCGACCGCACCAAGATCCACCTCCCGCGTATTGTCCCGTCATCCGATCCCGAGTGCTTCGGCAAAGTCGCCAGCGGGGTGCTCACGGGCGTGCCCATCGCAGGCTGTCTAGGCGACCAATCTAGCGCCCTGGTTGGCCAGTGCGGCTTCAGTCCGGGCCAGGCAAAGAATACATACGGGACAGGCTGTTTCCTGTTATACAATGTCGGCGAGGAGCCCGTGATTTCCCGGTATGGGCTGCTGGCCACGGTAGCATACGACTTTGGCGGCGGGCGGAAACCGGTCTACGCGCTCGAAGGGAGCATAGCGGTGGCCGGCGCCGGCGTTAAGTTTTTACAGAATAACCTCGGGTTCGCCACGCAATCGAGCCAGATCACGGAGCTCGCCGAGTCGGTCGAGGATAATGGCGGCGTGGTGTTTGTGACTGCGTTCAGCGGGCTGTTTGCGCCGTACTGGATTGATGACGCCAAAGGGACTCTTTGTAAGTTTTTTTTTTTTTTCTTGTCTTGGGATCACTACTGACACGGACAACAAAGTCGGCATAACCCAGCACACATCAAAAGGCCACATCGCCCGCGCAACGCTCGAGGCGACGTGCTACCAGACCCGCGCCATCCTCGACGCCATGGCCAAGGACTCGGGCCACAAGCTCGAGAGCTTGGCTGTTGACGGCGGGCTGTCGAACTCGGACCTGTGCATGCAGACGCAGGCGGACGTCAGCGGGATCCCCGTCGACAGGCCGGCCATGCGCGAGACTACGGCGCTGGGCGCGGCCATCGCCGCGGGGCTGGCCACGGGCGTGTGGCGCGAGCTGGGCGATTTGAACGGCATGGTCAATCGGGAGGGGAGTCGACGGGTTTTTTGGCCGGGGATGGAGAGGGAGAGGGCGGATCGGTTGTTTGAGAAGTGGAATCAAGCTGTTGAGATGTGTAGGGGGTGGGTTAGGGATGGGGAGGAGGAGAGCGAGGGGGAGCAATCGGAGTGAGTTGGGGGGTTGGTGTATGATGTGGGATATGGGATGTAAGTGGTATATGATACTCGGGTTTGGGTTCGGGTTTTGGGTAAGAGTACTTACTTTATGAGTACAGCCCTGGAGTTGGATTGTTGTTTTGTTGGCAGTAGTGTAATTAATACCTCGGTATTCATTAGTTAGGTCTAGGTGTATTCTTGACCATATTTCTATTTTTCTCTCTCAAGTGTGACGACTTGCGCAATTAGACCACACCCGATCGAGCCAGCTTCCAAAGGGATTGCCAGAATTCTAGGGTCAGCACCTTAGAATCCTAACTGTGGCTATATGCTGGCACGATCTGGGCCACGGCCAGGCCCCAGGATCGTGACTTCAAGAATCCCTTCGATAACACAACATGTCCACCAAGCAACCAACCGTTTTACTAACAGCAGCACGTCATATCTAGAAACAAGTAAACCGTATTAATACAGGCAATGCAGAGAAAAGGAGACAGTACGATGAGTTAGGTTCTTTCCCTATCAAGCGCCGGTTGTGTCACTGCATCTAGACTAGTTCTATCTCTCTAAACCGTAGCACAGCTCACAATACGAAACCACCATAGAGACTACACCCACAACCACCACCGCCCTGGGGACAATTCCAGCCCGGTACGATATCACCATCAGCAGAGGGCGAATAAACACACTATCCCATTCAACAACAGGTTTATTTCAATTCTTCTCAACCGCCACCCTTCCCAAGTCGGGAGCCCCTTTCCCGAATTTTTCATAATCCCATTGACATCGTGTCCGTGTCCGTGTCCGTGTCCGAATACACACACTTTCCCTCGCCCAACCAACCGCCCATGCTCGAGAACGGTGCCACAGAGCACACGCCAAGGAGTTTTTGTCTTCGTCAATCCCTTTCGCGCATGCACCTAATTTTTGTCTAGTATGAAAAAAGAGGAGAGAGACGGGAAAACCCTTCCCATTTGGTTTGGCCGCCAATGCCGCCCACCCCCCTATCCCGAAATTGTGAAGGAGAAAAAAAATTAAAAGGTGAGAAAAGGGACGGGTGACCAGGTATTAGGAAGAAGTAGTTATGAAGAACCCCAACCCTCGTGCTTCTAAAATGACGTGTGTGTGCGTGGTACCGAAAAAGTTCGACTTCGAGAGACAATATGTCCGTTTACATAATGATCGCAGGCACGTCCACGTTGGCCTTGATCGACTTGTGCGGAAGAATGCTGCCGCCGTTGACATAAATCTCGTCGCCGATCGTGACATCGTCTCCGAGAACCGTCACGTTCTCCAGACGGGCCCACTTGCCGACGACGCTGTTCCAGCCCACAATGGTGCTCTTAACCCACGCGTGGTCCTTGACCTTGGAGCCGGCGAGCAGCACGCAGCGCTGTAGACGGACACCATCGCCAACGACAACATCGGGACCGATCGTCACGTTGGGTCCTATTCTGCAGCCCTTGCCGATCTTGGCGGAGGGGTCGATAAGCACGTTCCCGCCGTGCACGTAGGGCACCGTCGGCGGGGTGAGTTCCTTGGAGCCCTTCTTGGTGAGCGACGAGAGGTAGAGACATGTACCAGTCAAGAAATCCTTGGGCTGGCCGACGTCCATCCAGAAGCCCTCGAGATCGAACGAGTGGAGCTGGCCGTCCTTGACCATGGCGGGGAACGTCTCCTGCTCGATCGAGGTCGGTCGAAGCTCGATGCGATCGAGGACCGACGTGTTGAAGAGATAAATGCCGGCATTGATGCGATTGCCGACGAACTCGACCGGCTTCTCGACGAACCGGTCGATCTTGGAGGGGTGGCCAGGCCGATGAACGATAACGCCGTACTTTGAGGGCTCCTCGACCTTTGTGACGACGATGGTGCCCTCGTCGCCGTGCTGTTTGTGGAAGGCGGCGAGCTCCTCGAAGGGGTATTCGCAGGTGACGTCCGAGTTGAGCACGAAGAAGGGCGTCTCGTCCTTAC